GGGACTCTAACGAATCCGCTTGGTAGCGTAACTTGTAGCGCACTTACCTGGTAAGCGAGAGGTGCGTGTTCGAGTCCCGTCCAGGGCGCAAGTTTTGCGCACGACCCAGCATTCTTGTGAAATTTTCATTCATAGTGCTTGCCTAATTACATTTACCGTGATAAGCAGAATTTAAGCAAAGGAGATGCGAGACGATCACGCAGATCGGAAAATCGGATAGATTAATTGTGGAAACATTAGATCCGTTTTTTGGCAGCGCAAATTTGCTTGCTAATGTGTTGCAAAAAGGTTACGGAACAAGCCTGACAAGAGACAAAGACGTGAAACGAGCGGATGAGAAGTTTCACGGATGAGTGGTGGATGAGCCGCTTATATCACAGGGAAATGCACACTACTGTCTACATACTTTTTGCCATGACGTGTAGCAAGAGACAAACTAGTGTTCCCCAAAGAAATCGTGCCAACGCACATCCCAGTTGGCGTTCCGACATGAAACGTATAGCCACGAGATATCATGTCAAAATCACTGGAGAAGGTGCGATCTTAGAGAAGAACTCTCAGATCCTACATAAAAATAAAAACAGAGCATTCTAATTGCTCAACCCCTTTTTGGGATGCGACGCGCATTCTACTTCATTTATCATTTACACGTTCGTAGTGGCACTTGAATGTCATTTGGCCTCTAGAATGATTTCCGGGGCTAGCCGATGTTCAAGTCAGTGTTTTCAATCCTTCAACGCAAGTCTGGTAACCGACCCCGGAGAGATGGAAAGCATGGTTGTCCGGGACGACGCGCTCCCAAGATTCGATCCCGGACTGCGCGCGTAGTGGGTAAGCGCAGCACATACCGCCGGTCCCTACATATACAGTGGTGGCAAAAATGCTAATGGTGAACATCGTCAAATTTTCGTCGCGCAGGGTGTCACTGTTGATGAAAGTTTTACGGCAAAATATCCCTTAGATGTCTCCCATAAGTAGAAGCAGGCCCTCCTTCACTGCCCTCACCGTCCTCAAAATATGACGTCATCTTCCATCACCGTTGAGCTCAAGAGGCCTACCGTAATCGTTCCAGCCTGAAGCTGCTACGAAATTTCTTTAATCGGTTCACTGACAGATTGCTTCCTAGGGACAGTAGCTCTAAATATGCAAGACCCTTTCCGACCAGCGTTTCAGATAACGTCGCAACGGTCCATGTTTTGTTGCGGTTGCGGACCACGTTGAGCTCAAACCGTGCACAAGGTTCCCATGGCAATTCTTGGCCACCGCTGTATGTGCTCATAAGTGTTGTAGCTTGGCATGGGCATATTGCGGTTTCTTATGATTATTGTAAAACACATCTGATTCGATTCTAAGGAATTGTTCACAATGCAGACGATTTGGAACTTAGGCAATTAGACGAGAAGCAAAGGATAGTTTCTGCTGGGCGAATAGACGATTAGGCGAGTAGGCTGTCCCGGCAATCGCTCCTGGTCAGAGGGAACTGAATATGGGTGCAACCTTGGTCGCCTACTCTCCTATCGCCTGTTCGCCTGATTGTTACTTATCCTTTCTCTTCTAGTCTAATAGCGTAGATACCTGTGCGATCTCGAATTAGTAACCTTGTGCAAAAGAAAGCCAGAAACTGGACGACCCAAAGTTAACAATACGACAAGAAACGTGTAGGTTTGTATTAAGGTTCCTTTGGTTGACTGGGAGGTATCGGACGTCCGGACAGCGGACGCAAAGCGATCGCCGATGACGTTTTCCGTGAGGCCATTGGTCGACCATCTACTTGTTGACTATATCAAATATAAGAGCTGGGAGAATATCGTATACATTCACGATGGAGCAAACGGTAAGCGATCTGACCTCTGGCCTATTTTAGAAGGAATAAATACTGTTTCAGCCGACAGAACGCTACATGGAATGTTCGAGTACCTTAACGAAAACAGTCCCGATTACAACCTATTCGTAGACAACTTCAGGGTGAGTGATTGCTAAGCTATGATTGGCACATTGTATATGAAACATCTTGTGTATCCTCCAAGGGGAGCGGGCTGTTTTCAGAAACTTACATGGGGGGGGGACAAAATTGGCATTTTGCCCATTTTGCACATCAGCGATTCCTCGTCGCTTAAATTGCCGCTTGGTAAGTATTACACTGAGTATCCCTGGAATGTTCTATAAGCAAAAGCAAGCCCTCCTTCACTGCGCTCAACGTCTCCAAAAAATGAGCTAATTGTTTCAGCCGGGAGCTGAGACATGACTTCCTGAAACGATTCACGTGGTGGACAGTTTCCAGACACATTACCTCTACATAGTTGAGCCAAAACATTTCCAACCAGTGTTTCAAAAAGCGTCGTAACGGCCCACGATCCTTCCGAGGGTCCCGTTGAACTCGACCAGTTCGGCATGTTTCCGTTGTTGATACTTCTAGTGTCGTCCACAAAGGAGACCATACCGTACTTTTTAATAGAATGTGTTTTCCAGATTCGAACTATAATTCCATTTGAATATGAAAAACATTTCTATTAAAAAGTACAGTATGGTCTCCTACTTGGACGACACTGGAAGGATCTACCACGGAAACACTGGTGGAGTTCAACGGGACCCTCGGAGGATCGTGGGCCGTTACGACGCTTTTTGAAACACTGGTTGGAAATGTATTGGCTCAAGTATGTAGAGGTAATGTGTCTGGAAACTGTCCACCACGTGAATCGTTTCTGGAAGTCATGTCTCAGTTCTCGGCTGAAACAATTACCTTAGGTTTCGAGCTCTACGGCAGTGGCAGATGACGTCATTTTTTGGAGACGGTAAGCGCAGTGAGGAAGGGCTTGCTTTTGCTTATAGAACATTCCAGGGATATTCAGTGAAATACTCATCAAGCGGCAATTTAAGAGACGAACAATCGCTGGTGTGCAAAATGGGCAAAATGCCGATTTTGTCCCCCCTCCTGTACGTTTCTGAAAGCAGTCCGCTCCCCTTGGAGGATACACAAGATGTTTCATATCATATGAAGACAAAACATTTTTTTATTGCTTCCCTCCCCTTCCTCTCCCTTTACGTCGCGCGCGGCGAACGGCAAACTAGTGCTGCAAATGCGCTATTTGTTAGCCTCAGATTGCATCCAACAACCACAATTTTCGCAAGCGATAGACAAAACTAAATCTATTGCTCGGCTTCCATTTCAGGCTCCTCCGGATGAGGAGTTCTTTCGAGAATTTCTCAATGATTTTCACCGGCGAATGTCACTCTCACAAGGGAACATGTCCCACGGAGAGGAAGCAGACATTACACAGTGCGTACAAGTTCCTTCTGTTGCGTTTTCTTCCTGAAGACTAGAAACTATTTTCAGCCCAGTGCATGTGATCGTTGATTTGGAAGGTGGATATCGGATGAGAATGTTTTTGAGAGCACTGGAAGAAAGTGTGCTTGTAAAGAAGGATTACCACTACGTCTTTGCCAATCTGGTAAATTTTTTGTCTTTCCTTGTCACCTGATCCCCTTGCCACGTGAAGTTCTAGTAGAGCAGAACGAAACGAATGGCATTTGAGTTGCGACAAAAAGTCAACTGTAGCTAATAGTCTGTGACGCTCCATGGCACTGTCATTCATTGTCAGTGCCGTGAATTATCACTGGTGAGCAAGTTGCAGTTCTCTGAATATTTCGGACATTTTGCCAGAGTTTTTATTCATTCGACCATTGATTGGATGGCTGGTTCCTTGCTTTTGCGTTTTGCCTGCGAAGTGGAAGAGGTATTGGACGGCGCGGTGGACGCGTAGAAGAGCATCGGTACTGTACTTTCGCAGCAAGTGTCGTCGCTCTCGGCATTTGCTGTGCATGTACCATATCCGTTGCATTATGAACCAAACACAAAGTTAAGAGAAGGAAACCGTTCACCCAAATAGTGGTAGAATGAACAACAACTGTAACGGAATATCCGAAAGTTGAAACGACAAAAAAAGTGATCCCCGACTGACGAGAAGGCCATCTGACGGTGTCACTACTTGGCGGATTTGTAGCAATTACGCCTAGCTGCCATTAGGAGAGTGTGCTCATGGAGAAAAAGAAGGCTGTGTAGAGGTCATAATCGACGGTGAAGTTCACCAACAAGATTTCCAGGATAAAAAACGCTTTTTCAAAACGGTTTTTTGCCCGCTATAAGGACAAACGCAGAGAGCTTAAAACAGTTGACCGGAGTTTTGGAGCGGCTCTGTAAACATCAATAGTCATGTGGAAATATGGCTTGTGGTTCGATCTCCAGTGAAGACAAATTTTTGCATTTCTCTAATTTCCAATCTCTCTGTTCATATATGTATACAGTAGCGGTCAAGAGTGTTCGCCGAAATGCTTTTTCGTGCATTTCATTTCTTCCCTCTAGTGAAATCAAGGAAAGTTTTCTGCCCTTTTTGACAATCTCAAGGCCGCTCAGAAGGAATGACCATGGAATTAAATGATGTTCTGCGCAGATGCCCCTACTACATGCAATAACCCGTTTTGGAAAAAAAACATTTTGAATCCTGAATGACCATCCTGGACATTGTAGCGGTTGTGCTCGATATGTACATATGTATTAGGTTGTCCGATAAGTATGTAGTGTCGTTTTTCTTCAAACAAAAAATTCAGGCTAAAGTTCTATGCTTCATATCATCTCATATACCATTCGAAAGAGAATTGTCTGCTCTACAAAATGCATGTTTGGCTTCCACATCATTCCAGGGTTTTCAAATTTTAGGCCTGCGAAATGGGAGGTCCCGCCGACAAAAATTGACCAAACCGACAACTAGCTCTAACTTTATTTTCCCTTCAATCAATGATGTACCCTCTACTTACTCATGACCTCTTCTGAACATTCCACTGCTTAGGTTGCCGAAAAAGCCTTTGCCGCTTTTCTTTTCGAATTTGGTTTTTCTGTTTGAGCGATAAGCCATGGTGATTTTAAACTGAAATTTTCCCTTAAACCACCATTGTTTCATATCAAGTGGTATACCTTTTGTGAGCACTTCTTCTGCTCTATTCGCTCATTTGTTTTGTTTTTATGTTTGTTGGGAATTAGTCGAATTTTAGGTGTTTAGGATAAGGTGTTTTGTCCACGAAAGTGACCGCATTTCTTTGAAAAAATTTCCCTTGAGAAGATGAGAAAATCAACCAGGCGTACATTCCTAACTTAGTCATGACTTGTTCTTAAAATTCTACTAGTTTTTCAATGTCTCGGCTGTAAAAAAATTTCGACCTAGATCTCAGGTAATGGTGCTTGACCGTCGAGTTCTGGTTGAAAAACCAGGTCTGGAAATGGAACGACGCGACTTGTTGGGAAACCTAATAGTGTAATGTTTAGAAGAGGTCATGAGTAAGTAGAGGGTACATCATTGATTGATTTCTCCCAAGGGAAGATAAAGTTAGAGCTAGTTGTCGGTTTGGTCAATTTTTGTCGGCGGGACCTCCCATTTCGCAGGCCTAAAATTTGAAAACCATGGAATGATGGAAGAAGAAACACGATATTTTGTAGAGCAGACAATTCTCTTTCGAATGGTATATGAGACGATGTAAAAGCATAGGATTTTAGCATGAAAATTTTTTGGTTGAAGAAAAAGCGACACTACTTATCGGACAACCTCAATATATTCTACGTGGGCACTTAGCAGGTCCGCCGAGAACAGGCACATTTCAATGTACTCTATACGTACGAAGACTCTTCCTGAATGACGTGAGTGAGGGATTCACTATGATGATGAGCGAACTTCAGGAGATGGAAGATACCGACTTGGCCGCTTTCCATTTCTCATTAATCAACATAACCGGTTTTCAAATGTTTGATCGTATGGACAAGAAGTATCTGTGAGTACTTTGCTGTGCTTGAAACTTTCAGCTTTGGCTCTTACAGACGCCTTTCCTGCAGAAGGTCGACCAGATTTTTTTTCAGACAGAATAGGAAGGACTTCGAAGAAACATATCGAGAACGATTTCCCACCTTCGATTATCTACCGGTGCGTCAATACTGTTGAGATTTTTTAGAAAGCACTTATTATGTGGCAGATTTTACCAAAGGACCAGTTTAATCTTTATGATCCATTTTTCACTTCTCAGGCAAGCAGCGCCTTTGCTCACGATGCTCTGCTTGTCGCTGGTGCTGGGCTCGATCTCACTCTGAGGAAATATGGACTCTCCGTGTTTGCAGAGTTGGTCAATTAAGGCTTTATTTATAGGGAGAGGCATGAATATGGCGTCAAAATATTTTTGGAACTCCCGAAACAGAGGGATCGTAACAAGATATCAATTGTAGTGAATTCTGCACACATTACATCCTTCGAAACGTCGCTTCATTTTATGGAATTCAGCATTTAGCGACACTTTCGAAATAAGTTTGCGTTAGGCTCCCCCTGTTTTTACTTCAAGTGAAATCATTCACCAAGCGAAGCAAAGCCATGATACGATAAGGTTATATTTATAAGACCACGACGAGTTAGGCTACTCACCGAAAGCCCTGCTCGCAGATTGCCCTGCGTGGCGCTTCAGTGTTCAGTCTCGTCAATTTATGCCCCACTTTTTGTTGTTGCATGCATTAGAACTATTGGGTTGATCCATAATTTCTGGCCGATTTTGGTTCAAATTCAATTTTCTTCATGTCAAATTAGCTTCATATCGAAATAAGTTGATATGTTGAAGAACACATCAGGACCTTCAGCCAGGATGTTTCAGAAGCTCAAATGCGCAACGGGATAATTAAGTAGGAATCAAAATAGATCAACGACCAAACCCAACGATTATGCCTTACGACAATTTTAAGAAGAACCTTGCAAGGAGCGCGGTAGGCAAGATCAGCGCTACGTTTGCCCCAGTCTTTGCTACTGATCGGGCACTGAGCTATTGGCTCAATAGCATCGGCAAATAAGATAGGAGCTGCAAAGTTCGACCTCATCATGGACCTCCAGTCACTTTCGATGAGGACCCCTTGCGCAACGAATAGGAAGTGCATCCGACGCTATTAGCAGGAAACTGTAGCAAACACCTGGACGCAGCCTACGCTCCATGAGTCGACACCTGAACGAAAGGGGCTGTAGCAGAATGAAGACTCGATGGAAACAGCATGCATCGACTGACCATGACCGAGAAGCACGCCTGACCATCTGCAGAAGTTTCATTCTGCGACCATATAGACACGACATTCCCTAGTTGGTCACCAGTGCAGATGAGTCATGAGTCCACCACGATAACAACACGCAGCACGCCTGTGGCTACCTCGCAGCCTGGACTCACCATCTCGACCAAAGCATGAGCTCTTTCATCAGAGATATTACCCCGGTTCGTTGGATTCGCTGGGTATCCCGTTTTGAGAACCATTTCACTTTATGCAGACAAGCATTGCGAAGGTAACCATGGAATAGCTCCCGAAGTTGGCCGCAGCAGTGCGGGAGAACGGTTCGAAACGTCTCAAAATCTCCTTTCTCCGAAGGACCGCCCGAAATCACATTGCAAAGATAACTCGCCACGTTTCGAGGAAACTGGCTGGACCACGACACCACATCTATCGTATAGCCCTGACATTGCTCCATCGTACTATCACCTCCTCAGCTCCCTGAAGCAGCAGCTTGGAGAGAAAAAGTCAGTAAATGCAACCACCCCAAAAACGACCTCTCCGAACTTTTCATT